ACCACCACAATGCAGCAGCACATAGTAGATCTCCTCCACTGGCTGTGTAGCCTTTTTTGCACTCCCAGTACCCTCAAGCATTCTTTTTGGGTATTGGGCTGTGTAAAGCATTCAAAGGGATACATCACAAAAAAGTATGTGTGAGCCAAGGCTCCAGGCAGCTGTTTCAAGGGCATTCCCAGGAAGGAAGGAAAGCAGCTGAGTGTGCATGTGGAGATGGGCTGGGGAAGCCCTCAAAACCAGATGAGCTTTCTGGAGGAGGCAGTTGCCCCAGTGCTTGAAGGAGGAGGGATTTACTTTCACTAAATTACTCTGGAAAGTGCCCCCTTGAATCTTTTGCACAGAGAAACATCACAGGAATTCAGCAAAAGGCAGTCCAGAGGATTCGTTTCAATGCAATAAAGCTAGGGAGGCTTCAGTTCCTATAGCCAACAATTACTACACACACATGTCACGTGTCGCATGTTATGAGTGCTTCATTTAATATTATTCCAAATTAAAGAATCACTGTTTTTCTCCAATACATTTACAAGTTCTGTGATCGATTTGACAAATTTTTCATATTTCTACAACTGGCTTTTACATCTCTGCTAAGAGATCAGCTAGAGGCTTTTAGCCAAACAATTATTGGAGTAATTTGAATTTATATTTACATTTTCCTTTGGAATTCAGTGCAGGCCTACTTAAAATTCAGAAACTAAGAACTCTGATTCCTTGACTTCCATGTTTAACTTCTCTACAGCAGTCTTGCCACTTTATTCTCTCTATAATTTGTATGAAGTTTGGGATATTACTTTGCTTCCTTTCTCTTTGGCTCTTCCTTCACCCATCATTTCTTTAGCTTCCTGTTTTTCAGTTTCTGAAACTATCTGGCTATCTAAATCTAGACCCCCTACCACTCCTGTCTCTCTTCTCTTCCCTCTGTCCCACTTTATGGTGTGTCAGTCATGACTTAAATCTTGAAGAATTTCTTTAGAGTTCCCTCTCATCCCATTCCTATGTCTTCTCCTTCCCATCCAAATTCTTGCCCCAGGTTCCCTGTCTTCTACTTTCTTGGATCTTTTCCCACTTTTCAGATGGCCATGCAAAGCTACTCTAAGAGTTTTATTCTAGTCAGACTATAAACCTTTCTTTCCTTCAGTGTAATAGGATTGTACATATGGATAGCTGCGGTCCGAGGAGCTATTGTTAAACACTATTCCATTCATCACAGTCATTTAGCTAATCAACTTTAAAGGCTTCACTGCCAGAAACTCAGTGTAAAGCGGGTGTATCTGTCAGATTATATGGGGGCAGATCTTTAGATAAATTGTTCTTGGTGGAGTGTGGTCACTTTGTGCTGCAAGTCAGTCTTGCACAATAGCACATCCAATGTTAGTTAACTAACTAAATGAGTGTGAGATTCCTGTTGATCTAGATGGACATTAGATTTCAGACAAATATTAAAAACTGCATCCAAATGAATGGCATTGCTTTGATTGTAGTGGTGGTTATATATGAACTACATAAATCATGTGTACTAAAGTTTACATATCTCTTGCTTTATCTGTGAATTAGGAATGTGCAAATCATTCAAGATCTTATTTGAACGAATTTGGTGGCAATTAATTAGAAGGGGTGAGTTAGTCAAAGCTTTGAATGGAGGTTTGCATAACCCTAATAACATCTCTCTCTGGCCTGCTGATTTAATGCAAGGATGGGAAAACTTCAGCTCCCAGAATCTTTTTTGTGCATGTGTGTGTTTTAATTTCAACTCCAAAACTAAATGGAGCCTAGCATAAAGGATAAAGTTAGGATTAAATAATTTGGAAGTCAGAAACTTGTTCTAAGACAGGAGTCTATTCTAAGACTCCTGTCTTAGAATAAGTTTTCTTTTAAAAGCACTGTTAGCGTTGCCACTTAATAGGCATCAACAAACCCAAATAGAAAATTAATCTAATTATTTTGGCACTAGCAAACATGGAGAAAAGTATAGAAGTATAAAAAGGCTGTCACTCCATTGTTCAGGAAGCAGACTCATTCTTTTCTCTTTAGCCTGTTCATTTTCATGCACGAGTGAGGACACTGTTAACTTTCTGGCTTCTTTTCATTCTCATTCTCATTTTTCTTGAGGACTCCAATTAAACCTTTCAAATCCTATCAAGACTGATTTTCTGCCCATCTTTTAACTTCCCTGTTCCTGCTTCTTTGTGTCATTACTTAACTCCCTGTGAGTATTTAGGGGATCCATAAAGACATTTCAGCTATCATGCATTTGAGATCTATATTCTGCTGTGCACCAGAATCACGCAAAATACTGTAATAGCTAAAGATTTTTGTTGGTGTGTTGGTAGGCAAACGGTAGCTAATCTATAGAACCTGTTCAGAAAAATCCATTCAAGGTGTTATCTATGAACATCATGAAAAGTTATTGACCTAGTTCTCCACTTTGCAGTAGTTGGGAGCCTTCTGTATCCTGGCAGCACTTGATTGTGGCCATGCGCTCTTGAGCAGTGGGGCAAAGTGCATGGCCTGATGTGATGAAGCCATGTGTAAAATAAATGGGAGAAAAGAAATCAACTCCTCACCTTTACAGACACACAGGTTGGCTTCTCTGAAACAGAACCAACAAGAATATTCACTTTTTTTTTTTTTAATATAAGCTCTCTCGGTGCCTTGAAATTGTAGTTTTATTGAGCTGATAAAATGCTGGAAATCTCATGCCAACTGAACCTTCACACAAACAATTCTGTCAACAGACATAATTATACATATAGATGGCACCATTTAAGACTGCTGTTTCTTGTGCATGTAATATCTTTATACAAAGAGTACTGGGCTCATCTCATGAGTGGCAATGGTAACAGCCATCTCTATCATGTTCTTGGTGCAAGGTACAGTATATGCAAATGGCGGCCTTTATTTGGTGAAGGAATTGGAGCAGATAAGGTCCTGAACATTCAACTGTCTTTTCTTTTACATGACTGTTATGCTGCTATGGCATTATTACAGTCTTAAAGGATCTTTGCCTTGAATACCTGTATTCTATAAAACATGTCTTCAGATTTGAGGAATTTGGAATGTGAAAGTATATGTAACAGCAATTTTTGCTACAGTGCCTATAAAAAGGAACTAAAATGAGACCGCTGAGCAATAACAAAAACGTCACTGTAGATGCATTCATATGCAATCCTAGAGAACTGAAAGGGGGTCCCCTCTTTCTTTGTTTAAAAAAAAAAAAACTAGTCCAAAGAGAATTAAACCTAGTTTGCAGCACTAGGAGCCACCATGTGCTGAGTGAGTTGGAAAATGTAAAGACAATGGGAATTGAATTAGCTTGTTTGAGCCATTAACAATTTATTAACCCAGAGGAAGATGCATCCTGTTAGTGATTATGTTGTTGTACTGCAGAGATAGGCAGCAGAGTGCCATCCAGTTGTTTTCAACTATAACTCCCACAGATTCATAATAATTGGCAGGCTTTGCCATAATTACTATTATACTTTCAACATATTATACTGGACAAGATGTTCATCCTAGTTTAAGCAATGTAAAAGATCATTCTAGTATCCCTAGCCTAATTCTTATATAATGTTCATTTATATTTAAAGCCACGGTAGTCTAACCACACAAAGCCATTAACAGATCCTTAGCCTTTGCAAGCATATGCTACTATGGGTCAATGCTGCCTTTTAAAATATAAAAAATCTCTGCTAACTTCATTGGCAAGGTTGGCCACCATACATTGCCAGGCCTCAGGTTCCAGTGTAATCTGGTGGAGATGGCAACATAGTTTTTTATCTGAGTACATGAAACAGGATTTGAAAAGAGAAGTTCATCTGTCATCTCTACTACCTGTAAGCATATGTGTTCTGGTAATGGCCTTTAAAGAAAAACGGCAAGCTTGTTTTTACTGATATCAGGTTTCTGAGTTTCTTCTGAGTGAGAAGCAACAGCTCTGTTACCCAGCTCTTCTGATTCTGCAAATTCTGGAGGGCCATTGCTGGAGATAAAGCCAACTCCACTCAACTGAAGGGACCGTGGCTGTGATTCTGTTTAAGGCCAGGAATGAGCCTGTCAATTTGGGGTTGTCTTGTTGGGTCTTTCTCACTTTTGCAAATAGATTGCTTGCTTCATCAAACTTAAGGACTTTTTAAAAGAAATCTGCACTACAATGTATGTGTTTTAACACCCATTTCTCCAAGCGTGCATTTTTCTTTCGTATAATGTAATGCATTTTTACCTATTTTATTTAATATATGCATTTTGTATAGTCTTTTCCCTAATATGTTTTTAATTGTTGATGAGCTGCATTGAAAAATTCAAAGAACTGCAAATTTTGAATGTTGGCAAAATTTTGGTTCATGTAATGCTTTGAAACTGTGAAATTAGATAGGTTCATATTCAAATACAAACTAAACAAAATTCTCTCCTATCTCTATTTAAGGCAGCGTTATAGAAAGCACCAAACAAGAATTGGGAGCACTAATGCTGCAAAATCTTTCTCTTATAAATGCTTGTATGTCTAAAATAAATGATTTTGTGAGCAGTTTTTGAGCTTTAAAAGTGCTGATCTAATGCTTGGTGGATTTAAAGCAATACTAACTTCATGATCCTCTGTCAGTTCCTGGACAAATGTAATTATCGTTTTTAAAGTTCCAGATTTTTTAGAGCCAGGACAACCCTCTGAAAGACAGAATTATCTTTGCAAAGCTCTTACCATAAGCTAACACTTTCCTGGTCCATGATGGAGATTCCCATTCATGGCATTCCCCATCCCCCCTTTTATTAAAGAGAGAGGAGCAGGGTATTCATCCACTTCATAAATGAGATGAAGTCTCAAGTTTTAGGAAAATATGGGAGTGCCCTTTTCTACCACCAGAGTACTGTCAGGATAATCAGCAGTGTTCTTTTGTGAAAATGTGGTAATAATGATATCATTAACAAAATGTATGTTATTTTTTTTAAATTTGGAAATCTTTTCTTCTGTTAAACATTTCTGTGTTTTCTCTTCTTTAAAGCCACATTGCCCATCAAAATGGTTTTCAAGTCTGCCCTTACATTGGTGGTCATGGGATAGGAACGAACTTACATAGTAATCCTGAAGTTTGGCAACATGGTAAGAGGGGCCCTCCTTAATTTTTCCATGGTCCTTGTCCTTGAATACCTTACGTTATATTTGCATCCAACTGCAAAAGGGTTATGCTCTTGCCAGTACACAAAATTTTTGATAAGTAATCTTGTCACTTCTTAGAAATAGTTGTCACTTCGCTTACTCAGTGGAAGTATTGGGACTTTGGGGGAGAATTCAAATGAACAAATCAGAAACATGATCAAACAGAAGCAATGTCCTGACAAATTCCAGGGTTGTGGGAGGCATTCTTTCCTTCCAGGCTAACTCAAAATGTTGACTATTGGTGCTAAGCCTCTAGGCCTTCTGGTTTCCCAGAAATCAAGGCTTGCTTGACAAATACTGAGCAGGCTTTGGGGTTCCAGCTCGTAATAAACTATAGCTTGTTGAACAAGTCATAGTGATCAGGTTCTTGGCAGACACTAAGCTTATGACAAGATTTGTACTGTAATTAACTACTGTATTGCTTATAACTAAGGTTTGCACACTGCATTAAGCCAAACTAAATCACATGTGGCTTCATGCAGCCTTGTCCAAACTAGTGCTTCCAGGTGTGTTGGAACTGCACATCTGCAGGAGACAGGTTGGAAAAGGATGGCTTTGTACAATACATGGCCCCCAATTGGTATCTACAGCAATTGACTTAAGACCATTAACTTCAGATGTCAATGGAAGAAAGAGCACATATGATAGGATTGGCTCTCCTCTAGGACATGGCTTCTGTGCAAATAGCAGCATGGGGGAGCAGAATCAAAAGTTCTAGTTTCCCTTTGATACTAAATGCTAGACATTTCTTTTGTCTTCTGTCTTCAGATTTTTGCAGATTTGTTTTGCCTATAAAAAATGCATAAAAGACAGCTCCTGGCAATAATCCCTCATCACCCCACACTTTTGGGATTGGAACAGAAGGAGCATTTGGGCCTGACTCTGAAATTATTAACTAAAAACGGGGGGGGGGGTAGGGGGAGAAAATTAGCATATTTTCACATCTACTTGGAAATAAGTTGTGTTATTTATTTTCAAGTAATGATACTGAGGAATCCAGTTGTGAAGATCACATTCTATTCCATATAAACGGGTGCATTGGACTCCACTCCTTGTCTAAAATAAAAACTCATCAACCTAGATCTGCTTCAATTTCTTTTACTCCCCACTCCCCAGAAATAGAGGGTAATTTTAATTTAAAGTCTGAATGCATTTCCTTCCTCTGATAATTTTTCATTCTGACTACATGAATATTTAGGGTACTCTCCCCTCCCCCAAAGTAGTTAATTTAAGCTTTGTTCCAGACTGAAGTGAAGGCCGCCTCAAACTGGCCAGCATTGTCTTAAAATTCAGAATAACCCAGGGTGGGTGACAAGCCTTGCAAGGGGAAAGGTGGGCTTAGCTAGGGAATGGATCCTGTTTGAGGGACACTAATTTCCTAGCAAAAGATCTTCTTTATATTTAACCTAGGTAATTAAAAGGTTTCTGTTTTATTTTGTAGCAAACGAAAATGATTTATTAATGGAGAAGGGAATGGCATTCACAATAGGTTAGTTATGGTTTGTATTGAAACTGGTGTAACATCTTTATCAGAACAAATAAAGTCTTACTACAGAATTTGATTTCCTTCCTCCGGGTTCATTAGGGTTGCTATTGTTTTAATAGAGCAATATCCAAGTGCCTCTATTTGAATTTTTTTAATGACTTGGTAGAGTTATTCTAAACTCATTGGATAGTGTCCCTTGTCTGGATATTCAGGAAGCTGTCTGTGCTTTGTTGGTTTTGATCTTTTAAAAAAAAAATGGTCCAGCTGCTGTAGTTCAGATGGGACCTTGCGATCACCGGCTTCTGGTTTTATTAGCTGAGATAGTTTTCATGGGCTGAGGATTTGCCAGGGCAGAGCTGCTGCTCACACCCACCCTGTGGAGTAGAGTGCTGCGCTGGAAGCTTGCAGAAGAGCCTACTTGGGGAGGCATCAAGCAAGGGGGGGTTGGAGAGCTGACAGTCCCTCAGTCCATCCTAAGGATAGATTTAAATTGTGCCATGACAGCCCTGTGGGGGCGGGGGGGGGGAAGCTGTGCTCACAGTAAGAGGTCAGCTTGAAGACTGATTCCCCCCAAATATCAGATTAACCACCCAACTCTTTGGGAACAATTATGCCCCTTTACTGGAGCCCAGGGGTGGCCCTTCTGTCACTTTGGCTGAGTAGCCAGTCAGCATCCCTCGCCTGGAAGATGGAACCTACTAAGTACCAATCATCAACAGCTTATGGGGGGGGGGAGAGAGGGGAAAAATGTATTCCTCACTCATGGCGTGCCTAAATGGTGCGGCAATTAGGGGGAAATAAGAAAATTGTTGTTTTGCTGATTTAATGAACATTTTAAAGCCTGCCTTAAAAAAAAATCAAATATTTCCATCCTGCCTGCTCTTTGGAAGAAAGTGGCTGGGGGCTTCGGTTGTTATGATCCATGAGGATCTTAATTAAAGCTTGATTAAAATGCCCTTCTTCTGCCTTTTGAAACGGGAGACATCCAAGTTCAAGCTTGATGGTTGCTACTTTCCTCCACAGATCAGTGGCTGTGCTTTTGCGTTTGGGTTTTTTGAGGGATGGCTCAGTAAAATTCAAGATGGTTTACCTGGGCAAACAGGCGCTTTAGGGTTAGGAAGGACAAGCTTGCAAATCACTGTAACAATGCTTATTTAATTCTCTGTTTGTTTGCTGTATCAGAGCCTGTAATAATGGAAGGAATGACTGAATGTTATATCCTGGATGATGACTGGACTCTGATAACGGCAGACCTCAAAAGGTGCTACCTTTCCTGTTGTCATTTTAATTCTCAATTTAATTTATAATTCCCTAATTGGATGTTTTCTTGTTGGATCTCCCTCATACATTTTTCCTTCGGAACAGAGAATTCTTGGGCTACAGGATCACCATGTCCCCAGCTCACTGCTTGCTGCTTCTCTTTCAGATCAGCCGTGTTCGAGCACACCATCGTCATTACAGACAAAGGAGCAGAAATCCTGACCCTCCTGGCTGAGGAGACTTAAGAGCCACCAGCTGGCAACAAGCAGGCAGAAGAACCTTTTCCTGTGGGGCTCCTGGGAGAAGCTGGCACAAGGGGCTGTATCAACCCATTTATTTATTTGCGGGGAGTTGCTTTCTGCAGGATCCTCAAAGGACAGTGATATAACCGGAGAATCTTTGGACAAAGCTTGTAACCTATTCTACCCCACGCTAAAAAAAAATATAATCCCCCCCCCCCGCTTTCCTGAGAAAAATGAGGGTGTGTTTCTTCCCACCCACCCCTTTTTTTTGTTTTGTTTCAAGGCTGTTCCTAGTCCCTGTGGCAGTACCCACATATTTACACAGTCAAAGGGGTTTTCAAAGACAGGGAAATAAAAGCACAGCAAAGGGGCAAACTTGCCAGGCAGCTGCTTCACTTTATTTCTTGTGGCTTTTTTTAGCAACCACTTACATTTTTAGCACCATTCGGCGTTAAGTATACCAGAACCTTCAGACCAAACAACCATCCTTTACCAGAAGGAAAGAGTGGTTCTTACGATATTACTGTTACTCTTCATTATTCTGATGACGACATTATTACTTGAGGATGATTTTGCCCAAACGGGAGCCTCTTTTCCCAGGACTCCAGCCAGACCGAGGCCTCCCGCTTCCCTGCCAGAGGGATTGTTTGAGATGGACCTCCACGCGCCCCAAATCCCAAGCCGAGCCCTCCGAGGAAAGGTCTTGAGGACCGGCAATTAAGGGCTTCCTAATCGCGCGCCTGAATGCCGAGAAGGAAGCCTGGGACGAAGGGGCTGGCTCTGGCTCGCGCCCGCTCCCCCTTCTGGCTGCGAGAAGCAGCGTGGAGGCGCCTTCTGCGACTCGCCCCCCCTCCGACCCCCGCGGCCCACGCTCAACACCGGGAGGGGACGGGAGTCGCTCGCTACCTTATGCGCCGGGGGGCGTTAAGGGGCCTTCCCCGCGGAGTTGCTGGAGACCTTCTCCCGGCCGGCCCCAAAGGCTTGGTGTATTTGAGGCCGAGCCGGAGGGGTCCCGCGCGCGCCTGAAGCAGGATCGGCTGGGTAAGCTAAAGGCGAGCCGCAGCGACGGAAGAGGCGCGGGAGGTAAGGAAGGTTGTGGGGGGCGAGCGAAACGCCTCTGCAGGCATCTTTGCCGGGAAGGCGGCCTGCCCGGGGTTGGGGGGACGCAGTTTCCGATGCAAACGAACTCCTTGGCTAGTGCAAATAGGTGCGCACCGGGGAGGGAGAGGGGAATCTCCTGTGTGGACTCGGCGTCAGGCGTCTGAAATCCACTTTTCCGGTCAGTGCCCCGGTTGTGCCAATCCCGCCAAAGCACGGCGCTCATCCCCTGACCCACGCAGTCAAAAGTTACGGTACTCACGTAGTTTCACGTCGGGGCTAAGCTGAGTAGCTTTCCCGGTTTTGCCTAAACCAGCTATGAACCCGGCCACTGTAGCTTCTTCAACAGTCACCATCACAACAAATCATGGAATGACGGACAACCCCATAATTGGCTTCATTTAAAACAACACGCTAAACCAGCTTTTGACAAGATTGTTGACAAGCTTTTTTTCCCCCACTCCAGCGCACTCTAAAAAGTAGTGGGAGGGCCGAGACAAAAATAATAATTGACTTAATTTTGTTTAAGTGTAAAAAAAAAAAAGTTCTGATTGTACTCCGGTAATAAATTATTTTCGAATACTGGTCATTTTGAATTACAATTTGGTAATGTGTACCCAGCTAAGAGAGGTCTCTGAGACAGAAGTCAACATTTGGCGGGGGTGGGAATGAGGCCCTGGGAATATGCAGTTTTGTGGTAAGCCATGGTTGAGTGAACAAATCAGAATTGTCTGGGTTCACACAAGACCCTAAGTCACAAATCCTGGTTTATGAATGGCTGAGATTTCACCACATTGTAAATATCGAGGCCTCCTTGCTTATAAATGAGTAGAGGATCGCTGCTCCAAGATTAAAAGTAGTAGCGGCTCTTTTTGCTCCTTTGAGCCAACCACAAGGACGGTAGATCAGTCTCTCTCAGACTGGAGCTCCTCCAGAGCCACTAGACTACAGTCCCCGTTGTTTTGGTCCAGCGTGGCTGTCCATGACGGAACTTGAGTCTGGAAGGACTCAGAGCATCCCATGTGGAAGATGAACTTTCTTGGCTGGATTCTCACAACAGCTCGACTAGGTCATTAAAGACCTCGCGGCTCATGTGAACTAGTTGCAAAACTGGGTGAGGGCGGGAGCTCATCACGCTCGGCAAACCCAATTCGTTTGTTCAGTTGCATGCGAATTCAGAAAAGGAATTAATTCAGCAACCACGTTAAGAGAGTGCTGCTGGATTCCTCTGCAAGTTTGATTCCCTCACCTCCTGGAGACCTCAGTGGAGCAGGGGGGGGGTTCTCCCACACACAGACACAGACAGCACCCGCGTGCTTTAAGCAACAGAGACGTTGATTTGGGAGGGTAAGAACGGGAATCGTGAGGTCAGCCTAAGAGTCCAATTGGGCAAAGGTGAAACGGTTAGTCCGAGCCTAAACCCGTTTGCCTCAAAGGACCTGGTGATGAAGACGACCACTAGTCCATTGTATCCAGCAGCTGGCTTTAAATTTCATGGCCCCTCTTGAGTTTATAGTACTGGCTGGCTGTCAGAGAGGCTGGACTTCAGCCTGGATACTTCCCAAGCCACCTTTCTACTAAGCCTAAGGACATGTACCAGGACATCAGCTCTGGCAACTTATAGTCCATGGCACTGCAATCCACAAGCTTTCAGCCATCAATAAATGTGTAAGGCTTTAAGGTGGCACAAGACCCTTTGATTTTTTTCATTTTCTTGGAGATTCCTCTGGGAACTTTTTTCACAGACTGCATCTGGAGTCACACAGAACACCAAGCTATCATACTAGCCCTTGGATATTGTGATTGGAGGGCTTATAAACTATGTTTTATGGCTTCTCTTGTGTATGAAACCAGCCACTGTGGATTTATTTATTCAATAAACGATTGGTAAAATCAAATCAAGGCTTAGCAGGCTATACAAACTTACGTGGCTTTAGATGAGAAAAAAAATGCTTATAAGCCTTGTTTGTGTAAAATAGGACTACATCTGGCATTCCACACTGGGTTGGAGTAAAAGGACAAGGCCACAAATCTTGAAAGATTGCCCAGGACTTTCTTCCAAGCAAGTGCCACTTTTGAAGTGTCCAGTGAGTTGGGTCTGATGTAGACAGCATTGTGCTCCCTACTTATTTCAGTGGAAGAACTAAGGTGTGCTTTGATTACTATATTGGATTTAAAAGCTGCAAGCCTCTCTGTATTTCCAGGAGAGTCAGTGCTATGGAACTCAGGGAGATTTACTACTGAGTAGCTACTGTATGCCTAGGCTTAAGGGTACACCTTCTGCATTGGGCCAGCATCTCTCTCAGTTTAATTGCAGCCTTCCCAGAGGGTTACTCCCCCCTCAGGTTAATTTTATTAGGACTGCAGGATTTTACCAACTGCTGTGGTAACAAGCTGTTTGCCTAGCAATTAGACTGAGGTAGCAGCATTTATGGTACACATTTATAATCCTAATTATTAAGGTGATTGCAGAAAGGTTTATAGTGTGTGTGTGTGTGTGTGTGAGAGAGAGAGAGAGAGAGAGAGAGA